AAAAAAAAAATTAAATATTTTGGAAAAAAAATTTTTTTTTTTTTTTTTTACCTTAAACCGCATAAACACATTTCATTACACCAAATACACAAAATAATGTTCTTTTTAGCAGCATCATATGACCCCTTTAAACTATTTAATGCGCCCTTTCAGTATAAATAATATATTTTTTAATTTCTTAAAAAAAGAAAAGGTATTAAATATACCAGATCGTCTGAGTTGGCTCTTGTCAATAAATGTGTCTGAATAATTTCGTAGTGAACTAATCCGAATTGATTTTTGGATGACTTGGATGTAGGGCTAGTTTGATAGATGCATTCAGTTTGATTAAAATGCATTCATAAACACAAGTTACCACAAATGGGATGTGTGTAGTGTCACCTCACTAGAAGTGAATTCTCACATTAACTAGTTGCTTATAAGCATGCATATTACTAGCATATTGGCTGTTTATTAGTACTTATAAAGCACATACTTTATTGTGCATGACCATATTTTAGATATCTTAATCCTAACTCATTCCTAAACTTAACAGCTAGCTTACTAACTATTACTAAGCACCAAATTATGAGTTTACTAAGGCAGATGTCATAGTTAATAGTAAGAATTGGACCTTACAATGAAGTGTGACTGATCTGTACATTTTCTGTAGAGAGTGTGAGTGGTGTTTGCCTGTGCAAGCCCACATCTAGGTTCTTTCAGTGATTGTTTTGGTTGCAGATGAATGCAAACTCTGCATGGGTCTCCGAGTAGAATGGTGTGAAGAAATAGTTTTGACACTTGCGTACTGTTAGCTTTCCTGTCTGCTTCTGTCAGGTCTGGGCGACCGTCGGCACGTGGTGAAGCCATCAGAAAGTGTGCGACTTCCTGGAAAGTTGCCACAGCCTCGTTACTGATCGCAGTGAGAGGTTTCTGAGCACGAGCCATTGGAAAGAGATGCAGGCGCGAAACTAAAGCAGCTGTTCTCCTCTTTGTTGGCATGGATAGATAATCTGGCCCCAACAAGTGACCCTGCAATGCTTTTGGCCACTACAATTCAATTAGACTGACCTGCGGTACATAAGAAACTGTGCCATTGGCAGTGCATTAAATTAAAGTTTCAGTTTATCCTTTGTTTCTACATCACAAGAGCCAGTAATTGCTCAAGACGACAAGCTCAGCTGATTCATTGTCATAGAAATGATACCACAAACAGGTTGCGAAAATCTTCCTTTTGTTACTTGTTTTCCAGACACACATTTCTGAACTTTCAAATAAGGGTAAAAAATGACAAAAAATTCCTTTATTCCAGAAGGACAAATAAAATTAAATTCAAAATTGACAGTAAAGGCATTTTCTGTAAAATGTAGCAAAAGATTATTTTCTCAAATAAACAACTTTTCTATTAATCAAATAAATGTGTATCACAGTTTCCACAAAAAAAAACTGTTTTCAACACCGATAATATTAATAATAAATGTTTCTTAAGCAGCAAATCAGCATATTATAATTATTTCTGGAGGATCTTGTGACACTGAAGACTGGAGTAATGATGCTGAAAATTCAGCTTTGATCACAGAAATAAATTAAATTTTAAAATATATTCAAATAGAAAACAGTTATCTTAAATTGCAATAATATTTCACATTATTGCTGTTTTTACTGTATTTTTTATCAAATAAATGCAGCTTTGGAGAGCATAAGAATCTTCTTTCAAAAAAAGAAATCTACTAAACAGCCGTTGTTACCAAATAAATTCAACATGTTAACTGCAGGAAGTTTCAACAATTAAAGCATGACTTCACATTTCCCACCCCGTTAGGTTTTGTAAGTGTAAACTCTTCCCAAAGGACTTTGTTTTTATGATACATGCAAGCGTTTCAAGAGTCTAAAGGTCAGAACGAGCATATGCATAATCTGCATGAATAAACTTAAACCGAGGCTTGAGACTGAGATGAACTATGCTGGTAAATCATAACACAGCTCATTTACATAGAGACACATTAAAGGGTTAGTTCACCCAAAAATGAAAATTCTGTCATTAATTACTCACCCTTGTGTTGTTCGAAACCCGTAAGACCTTCGTTCATCTTCGGAACACAATTTAAGATATTTTTGATGAAATATGAGGGCTCTCTAACCCTCCCATAGACAGCAAGGTAACTACCACATCCAAGATGATCGACAAAGTAGTACGTGTGACATCAGTGGTTCAACTGTAAAGTTACGAAGCTATGAGAATACTTTTTTGCACATTGAAAACAAAAATAACGACTTTATTCCACATTTTCGTAGCTTCGTAACTTTACAGTAGAACCACTGATGTCACACAGACTACTTTGTCGATCTTCTTGGTACTTTTCTGGACCTTGAACGTGGTAGTTACCTTGCTGTCTATGGGAGGGTCAGAGAGCCCTCAGATTTCATCAAAAAAATCTTAAATTGTGTTCCAAAGATGAACGAAGGTCTTACGGGTTAGGAACAGCACGAGGGTGAGTAATTAATGACAGAATTTTCATTTTTGGGTGAACTAAACCTTTAAATATACAGTAGCGAAAACATGTATTAGCATGATTAAAATTGTGATTATTTCTAAGGGTCAGAGAGAGGGTACAAAATGAACATGAAAAACAATGTGTAAGAAATCTAGACTAGCCTTATAAATGAACTTCAGCAAAGAAAAAAGGATATAATGTGGCCTTTAATAAATGCAGCTTTACTTTGTCTGTTTTGGCAGCATGTTGAGTCTCATACGAGAAGTTTTTGAACCAGCCTCTGGCTTTCTGATGTGGTTGGTGTTGGAGCGCTGCAGGATCTGTAGCCGTTGTCCTGTGCCGAGATGTCTGTCTGAATTAGATTTAGTTTGTGTCTGAATAGTCTGGCGTAATTAAATGTAGGAATCTGCTCACCTCATTAGAAGGGTGTGTGGGTCCATGTTGAACAAAAGAGCATATCTATTACATAATCTGTCCTACTTTCTGTGCTGCTATGACTTTCCTCTTTAGGCGAGCTGTGCACAACCAATTCAGCAACCATGTACTTCCTGTTTTGTATTGTTTCTACTAATCTTATGTTGTTCAAAAGGTCAAAAATAGATTCACCAAAACCCCCCCCCCCCCCCCCCCCCTCAGACTCCATCAGCCCAGTCGTTGCCCTGTCCTTGGGATGGATGAATAGATAAATAAATTACAGATAATAAATTGTTTTTCATAAGACAAATGTATAACTTTTAAAAAGGTTTAGAATTTTAAATATCTGTGAATTATACAGCTCCTAACTACTGTATAATTTACTGTAAAATGTGTGTAACTTCATAAAAGACCCATATTCAGGAATAATTTCTAAACATGAAAATGTCTTCTCATCATTTACACAAAAGGAGAAAACAATACTACTTATTTATTTATTGTAGTATTTTATTACTATTTATTTTATTCAATTTTTTTACTTTAGTTTTCTGGTCACTGGAATGTATTCATATGACCTCAGGCACATGAATTGCCATTTATACAAAAGTAGGACGGAATTGTATTTTTACAATTTTTATTATTTTATCACTACCTATTTATTTTTTTTACTTTCTGTGTGACTGGAATGTATTTGTTACATTTCCTATGACCTCTGAATGTATGCGAGTATCTGCAGGGTACAGGCCACTGTGACACACTACAAATGAGCTGTCATCAGACTGTTACAGTAACAGCACAGATGCTCATTACGTGTCCCTTTCTCCCGTGTTCACAGATGATCCAGACCTGCCGAACGCTGCTGGAGAGCTCAGACAGTGTGTACGAGCGAATACTGCAAGTCCAGAAATCAGGTAAGAATGAAAAACCATGCGAGAGAACAAAAGCAAAGACAAGGCGAGCGAGAAAAAGAGAAGGACAGAGTGTTCCACAAGGGACGGGTGTTTCTTGGAACACAGCCGATCGACGCGGCCTTTCGATCGCAGCTCCCTCTGAAATAGAAAGAAAACACGAATCCATTCATACTAAAAAAGCTCAAAGAGAAAGATTTAATTATGCCACACTGTGTTATATAAGGCTTATTGTGCGTTTCTCTTCACTTGTGTGATGTCCTGCTTTTCAAACACCGTTCAAGTAGGGTTTTTTGACTCTCAATAGTGTCATTCGCTCTGTGTTCTCTAATTAACGGGGAGTTAAAGGGTAAACATCTATGGCCTATCAAAGCCATGCAATCAATGTGACGGTAACAGCTGCACGATGCAATCACCCAAGATCGGCCTCAATTGCATTCACTCCGAAATGAAAGAGAAAGCCCAAATGCAAAAGAAAGGCGGCGTGTTTTATCAAGCATTCATGTAATTTTAAGGTGCATCTGTAGCCTTAGATTTTTTTTTTTTTGAAGTGCACAATGTAGCTTCACTTCTGATCTCACAAATCAAATCAGATGGAGGAATCAAAATTTAATCTATAAAACAGACAAAATTAAATATAGCCAGGCAAAGTTTAGCTTTTTTATTAGTGAGGCAAAGCATGAAGTGAAAAAAGAGATGTGCATCATTCCTGCTGTGATTCACATTTCCTCATTTTCCTGTTGCCTTCTATGTCCTACTGCGTTCATAAAACCTTGTGATGCGGAGTGGAAACATTGATAATCATTTTGGGTTTTTTTCTGCATCTTGGTTGTGTTGCTGGGAGACAGTGATTGGCAGGAGATCGATGCGGGAGGCTGGCAGTGTGTTTCATTGATCGCAGCTGATGGAATCTTGGCACAGGAAGCTGTTACAGTTCATTAGATGTTCTCTCGGTGAATAATTATCAGAGCCCCGCCCAAACACACACACTACCATTCTGTTTTATCAAGCCAACACTGAATCAATAATCTTGCCGATTGCTTCAATACCACATGTCATTTTCTATCCTGTTCGGCTTTAATAATGGAAAAATAAATCTTGTTGCACAGAGGTTATTAATGCTTGTTAAAGCAAGTTACACAATTACTGTTGGATTAGGAGTTTATTAAAATCCTCCTTAAAGGGGTAGTTTACCCAAAAATGAAAAGGTGCTGTTAATTTACCCACTCTCAGGCCATCAAAAATGTAGGGGATTTGTTTTTCCCCCGAGTAGAACAGTAAAGAAGATTTTTAGCTGAAACAGTGGACCTTGGTGATTCATAAAATCATACTGATTTTGTCAATGAAAGGTTGCTTTTCTAAGTGATCCGACTTACACCCTTTAGAATGAACTATCTTTGCATTTTCTGAAGAAAGCCCTTGCAAAACTCTATGATGCTAGAGTGTGGGTGGTTGCACGGACATTGTTATATGTTTGCTTAGAGAGGCGGTTAACATGTAAATAGCAGCATTATATTAACTTAAAACAACCTAGCAACCACTGTGAACATACAGGTGCATCTCAATAAATTAGAATGTTGTGTTCATTTATTTCAGTAAATCAACTCAAATTGTGAAACTCGTATATTAAATAAATGCAATGCACACAGACTGAAGTAGTTTAAGTGTCTTATGAAGTATTCTAATTTGTTGAGATAGTGAATTGGTGGGTGAAATGTGAGCCAAAATCATCACAATTAAAATAAACAAAGACTTAAACTACTTCATTCTGTGTGCATTGAATTTATTTAATACACGAGTTTCACAATTTGAGTTGAATTACTGAAATAAATGAACTTTTCCACGACATTCTAATTTATTGAGATGCACCTGTACGTACTGAATAAAAATGCACACATAACCACTCAGAATACCTTAGCAACTACCTAGCACTCCCTAGCAATAAATATTCGGAACACCTTAGCAACTGCTGACAACTACCCACAACACCCTAGCAACCACTAATAACATGCTATCTCCACAGAAACATGCAAATAACCACTAAGGATACTTTAGAAACCACCTATAGAACTCCCTTGTGACATCGCTCGGAACACCTTAGCAACCGTTCACACCACTCTTGCTTCCTTCAGAAAATGTGAAGATGTAGTTCATCATCAAACTATCACTCAGGCGCTTCCATCTTTGATTTCTTCAGCTTAAAAGCTTGTGCACACCGGGACGAATATCACGCGCGATTATTGCCGACGTTTAACGCCTCGTGACTAAACAAAGTGTGCCAGTGTGAGTGTGCACACCGACGCGCAAAACACCAGGCGTAAAAGCGTCATTTTTAAAAAACGCCTCGGGTTCGTTTTTTTGGTTTGATGTGCCGCGTTAAAAACTGGCCGACCAATGAGATTGGTGCTTTTGTTCACGTGTCTGGAGCTGCTGAAGTTACAGTAAAACACGACGCTGTCGTGGCGCTCAAGCACAAAACGGTCTTGCCGAACACACATTGATACCTAACGACGAAGAGGAAGTAAGTAGACAAAGAAGAAGCATCGAGGCAAGATGAATGTAGAGCTGCTGGTCTCATTGGTGTCTGAACACAAAGGGCTTTATTACAAACGTGACAGCGACTACAAAAATCTCGATAAGAGGGAGTTGTTATGGAGATGAATTGCAGATCAAATAGAATTCGATGTGTACCGGGGTATTTCTGTTTTTCATTAAGCTCCATCTAATGTCAGGGAGTGAATTTGCATGTTCACCTCCCGCTCTCTCTCTCATGAAGCCAACACGGAAGTGACTTAAACTGTAATTCGTCAACTGGCCGCTAGAGGCTGGCTGCAAAAGGTAGTCAATCCCATAGACTCCCCATATTAAAACTTAACAGCAGAAAAAAACATGTTTACAGCCTGGTTCAAAAAATTATTTTGGTCTATATAGCTAATTTTGCCCTTCATGACAACTGTGAGGGGGATGAATTTTTTTATAAGTCATCCGTTTAAATTATATTAAGCCTTAAAGTTCTGCATAATTAAGGGCATGGCCACTTAAGTGACAGGTGGATTGCCGCTGCTGTCACCACATCGAGCTAGGTGGGCGTGGTTTCAGAAACCAGCTCTCGCCTTTTTGCCCATTTTTGATTATCCGGGAGTGACACACTGCCAAGATGGCGACGACCGGCTCCGCCCACTTTGAGCTTCAAAAACGCTCTTCAGGAACCTACAGGTGATGTCACGGACACTACGTCCATGTTTTTATACAGTCTATGGTATGAACACACAAGACGCATCGAAAAACGCTGGCGATAAGCACGCGCGATATTCGTGCACAAGGCTTAACACTGTCATTTCTCACCACTTTTAATGCAGTTTAATATACTGTGTCAGAAGTGAGACGAAACCACAAAGCTTTTATTGATTTCCAGAGTCTGTGGCCACATCAAATATTCATCCTCTTTTGTTCCAGCACGAACGCACAGAGATCTGCAGTAAACACTGTAAATCGATCTCTGTGGTTTTGTGCCTCTCTTAAGAAGCCCATCTCCGCCTTGTGCACTTCAGAGTCCTGCATGAACATTAGTTAATGTGGATGAACGGCACACCAGCAGTAGCTTTACTTCTCTTGAGGTTTGGCAGAGATGGACAGATGGAGCTCTATGAGGAGCTGTGAATAGGAAAAGTGGGTCAATACTTGCCCATTCCCCCGTGGAATCCAGTGGAAAACTCCTGCATTGACAGCCCTGAATAATCAAAACTGGCCACTGCAAAGTGGTATTGCAGGTACAGCAGGTATTGATCTACAGGCAGAGTAAATAACATGCTGCCTTTTGAGTAAAGCAGTGCCGCCAGTGCTCCAAGCGTCTAAGAGACCTATAGATGATACACTTTTGCTGTAAATATTTGAAAATTTGTACACTAAGTTAACAATCACCCTGATGCCAGCAGGACATGGTTGCTTGTAAGGGACTGCACTTATGTGCTTTGGATTTGATTGATTTGCAAAATGCATGGCTTGCATGCAGACCAATATATATATATATATATATATATATATACACACAGTATATAGGCAAATATATAATGTATATAGGCAAATCCCCTGAGCAGTGTTGTTAAGTAAAACAAAACTAATTTTATTTAAAATATTTTGTAAATATTTTTATATTTTTAAAAACAAATATTTCTGTAATTAAAATAGATTAAATATTAGATTATTATTAATATTAGAAGTTAAAAACTTGAATTAAACATAAAAAAACAAATCAAAAGTTGAAATGTTGCCTTGATGACTAACTGAAAAAAAATTAAAATAAACCAAAACAAAGGAAAATTACCAAACTACTTTTTTTTTTTTTTTTAAGATAAGATAATAATAAATAATATAGAAATAACACTGCATCTGAGCCATAAATGCATGCAAAAAAATAAAAAAATCTGTGGCAGCAGATGGACAAACACAAGTCAATTTTCAAGAGCCATTCATATTTTATGTTTTAATACACCATTGCATTGCATCATGTTTTTTTTTTCAGCACCTCAAAAACACTGGAAATTTTGGATGCATTTTTAATTTGGTGATTTTTTTTTTTTTAATAAGCTAGATGGAGGGCAACAGAATAGAACAGAATGCAGGGTCTTGAGAGGGTCTCAACTTGACACAACATAGTAAAAACATGACACTAAGTGCTGAACTGACAATACAGGGTCAAGGCAGCTGACAAAAACAGAGGTGCACACTTATTGAGATAATTACAATAACCTGCAGAACGAGTGGAGAGAGCGTTTTATCTGAGTGTATTTTAATTGAATTGGCCAGTGAGTCTTCACATACTGTAATGGCAAAACATGATGCTTTATGTGTTGAATTTTCTGTTTTTGTATTTTTGTAACTTTTTTTTCGAGTATGCAATGTGCTGAAACAAACATGATGCAATGCTACAGTGTATCTTGCAACACGGAAATAAGCTATTTTCTATTTTATCTGTCTAAGTACCGTAAACGATAAAACTATTT